TGAGTCTTAAGGTCGGTCAAAAATGGGGTGTCTACAAGTAGCAAGAAGACCACTAAGCTCATTCCTACTATGAGGATCAAATACTAGTGACAAGACCCTATCAACCCGGTCTCCCAGAAAGTAAAAACAATCACCACTTGAGGTGCACACGGTGACCCTCTAACGAAAACAATCTATCATTGCCCGATACGAAGACAACCAATCCATGCCTAAGATGACGTCAAAATTTGACATGTCTAGCAACACAAAACCAAACGGGAGTCTATGCCCGGCAACCTATATCTCACAACCATGACAACCCTGATCTAGGTCGACTGTACCTCCAACTAGAGACTCTACTCTAAGCGGAGATGCTAACTATGCCACCTCTAACCCCAATGCATATGCGAATGCAGCAGATATGAATGAATGAGACGCACCCGTATCTATCAACACACTAGCCAAAGAATTACACACTATGAAAATACCTCTCACTACCGAGGATCCTGGCAACTGCTCTGGCGCGGTAACTGCGTACAGGCGCCCCTGTGGCCTCTGATCAACCTGCTCGTCCCTTGGAGCATAGGCCGGCTGTATAGACTGAGCCGAAGCGGCTCCCTGATAAACTCATGAAGTCTGAGCTAAGTGAGCCTACTGGTGGCTCTAAGTCTGTCTCAACCCCGATGCGCCAGATGTGCCTCACAACTATGGGCAAGCTCTCTTTATGTGCCCTAACTGACCACACTGGTAGCAAGTAGGCCCCTGACCCCTACTCTGAGACTGACTCTGAGATCGGTTAGGTGGTGGTGGTGGCAACATTTGCTGTCCTCCTCCCTTTTGTAGACATGCAAAGGCCTTGTGACCCGGTTGACCACACTTGAAGTAAGAAAACCCACTCGGTGCACTCTTCCCCGGGCCCACACTAGGCAAGAGGAAAGCGGATCTAGACTGCTGCTGGACTATTGCGGCTAGGACTGGGATGAAAAAGTGTTTCTGCTCTTCTTGTTGGGCCTAAAGTCCTCCTCTGACCCTTGGCCCCTAGACCTCGAATTCCGAAGTCTCTCATCCTTGGCCTCCACAGTAATCTCTACATATGCGGCTGCCTCCACAAGGCGATCATAATTCTGGATCATATTCCCAGCAACCTTGAACAAAATCTTGGTTCTAAGCTTCTTCTCAAACTCAATGCAACGGCACTCTTCCGTCGCTACCAACTCCGGTGCAAACCGGGACAAACTAGAAAAGACCACTTCGAACTCAGCCACAAACATATTAAGCTGCTTGAGGTCCTGGAACTCTTGCCTCAACCTCTTCCTAGCTATGGGAGGAAGATACTTGTCTTGGAAGGCCACTACAAATGCCTCCCATGTCGGTTCAATTCAGCCCTTGGCATACTTCCACCATTGGCCCGCGTCCCCTTTGAGATAGTAACTCGCAAGAGTCACTCTAAGCTCACTGTCTTCTATGTGAAGCATCTTGAATGTCTTCACTATCTGTTCAAGCCATTCGTCCCCTTTGTTTGGCTCGGGGCCACCATGGAATTCATCTGGCTTGGCCCGCAAAACTCTCTCGTGAGGAAGCTCACCCTTGTCTCCGCAGCGTTCTCCCTAGCCTGGGTTTCTGCCCTAAGTATGTTCATGGATTTTCTTAATGCCCCCACCATTTCCTGGGCTAGGGCCCCCATTACGGCTTGGGCCCCCGGTAACTCCGCTTGCCCCCACTTGTTTGGCCATGTTAGCTTGGCCTAAACCATCTTCTTGCACCGGTACCTCATGAACCGGTACTCCATGCACACCCCAGCGGCCCCTTCCACGTCTTCCGCCTCTACCTCCATGACTTTGAACCCTTTCTGACATCCTAATTAAAGAACAAGATCAACAACTTAGCACATAATTCCAAATGTTCTCGCAACTTGCCTCACACGTCAAACTATAACCATCATATATATTCTATCACACAAACAATTCAATTCACTCCACATAAGCATGTAGCCACGTAAACACATACGAATTATCCTTTAGTGATGAGATTCGTCCCATGAGAAGCCAATAATTCTTAGTAGAATGAGTATTGATCAAGTACCCTTCTAATAAGACCTTGAGGAATCTAATAGGCACAAACATCCCAAAAGTCCAATCCCATACCTATATAGTCACATAAGCATGTTATCACGAAATCACAAAAGCTAAACATTTCCTAATCATGCGAAATGAACCCATTGTGGTATAACAACCACTTCCCACGAGCCCCAAGTATTCAAACTCGGTAACTCTGATACCAAGTTGTAACGCCTCGAAATAATTCAACATGACCTACCCACATTAATTAACATTCACTAAACCATGACTATAAACCTCTCAACCTTACATAGTTAAAAAGAGAGTTTATACAAAAGTTTCACATGCGGGTATACATTTAATGATCAAAATACACATGAATCTGTAGCATGTGAAGCACCTAGTCTCAAAACAATAAAATGCCCTTAAGGGCTTACATCTTCCAAGGCAATAGCCCAGTTACACAAAATGGTTTTGCAGACCCACACACATTTAGTTCTAGGCTTTACAAAATTTACAACAAAAATAAAAGAGCTATTTACTCTTCACAAAACATTCACGCCCTCAGTTTGGCGAGATCACCACATCTTTACCTGCACCAAATTCCATAGGGGTGAGCGTAAAGCCCAATAGAGAATTCTAACAAAGTATATACAGTTATGCCAAAACTCAAAAAAATATACAATGCCCATGCTATGCCATGCTCTCTTAAAGAAAAAAAATTCATTCCATGCTCTTCATAAGGATTTCCATTTTCAATAAAAGCTAGCAATCTCAACACATTTCAAAACTTCCAATTTTAATCAATGGGGACGGTACATACGACACTGGTAATCCCTAGGCTAATGTCTGCAAGTAGACTCTACAAGTACTACCAAATCGTCATTTTTACAAGTATTAACCAGAAGGCTCGACACCTATCCACACGATTTTCTGGTCTTTCACCAAGGACACTTAGGCCAACTTATCAAGTTCAACTACACCCGCTATCCGGACTTACCACATATTTACCCCATACCACTTTTCCATAGTTTTCATTTCAACATAAATCGTTCTCAAAGTAAATGTCTTTCCAATTCATTTCAAGGTATGCATTAATGATGATAAATCAAATGAGGATATGATGCATTATTTAATTTTTCACAACATTTCTCTATTTCAAACATTTCTACAACAATATCATTTAATTACGTTTCTCATTTCTTCTCTTCAAAGCTATTTCACAAAATACCCATGTGCCATCAATTTATAGTAACAATAAACTCTCACCATGCACAAATCACTACAAGTTAACCTCTTCAAGGCATTATGTGATGTTTTTCAACATAATCTCCAAGATTTCACAACTTTCACATTTCATGGTACATAATCGTTCACCACTTTCCAACTACACATGTTCAAGCATTTAACAATATGTCACAATAACATCTTATGTCTCATACTTCAAATAGATTTCCATTTTTATCAAACATGCTATGAGATTTACTCTCATCCATTCTCTTGACACAAAACGATAAAGGATTTCATAGGTATTTCCTTATTTTCCAAAATCCCCAAATTTTAGTGTTTTTCTTCAAGACAAAACACTTCTCATTTCCTTGGTAAAACCCAACTAAAATCACATTTCTTAGGTTTTATAAATGAATAACCATCTAGTAGTAACAAGGATTGAGTTTTGGAAGCCCACATTTAAAACTCTCTAACCTTTGAATCAAAATGTAAAATGTATACAAGACTTCAAGAAAACCTTTGAATCATCAACAATGTAGCAAAACATGTATATATAACTCAAGAATGTCGCTACCTCAAGGTCTTGATGATGGAGAAGAAGAAACCCTAGCTTTAATGGAGGATTCTTCAACACTCACTATATCAAGAGGAGCCCTAGTTTGATCTTCAAGACTAGAGGAAGATAATGATGATCTTGACTCAAGATTTGCAAGGATCAAAGTATTTTGGTGTTTGAGGAGGTTTTCTAGAGAGAAGGAGGAGGAAAAATAGGGTTTAGAGTGAGAAAGGAATGTGAAAAATGAGATGCACATTCGAACCAAAAAAAAAAAAAAAAAAAAAGAGTTTCGGATGCCCAGACGTCCCGCACGTGCAGCACGTGCCCCGTACGTGCAGAGCCTCATTCCCGTACGTGCGGCTCCCAACCCCGTACGTGCGGCCCTCCCGTACGCACCTTACTCCGCACCTGCAATTTAAGCAGAATGCAACTCTCCCAAATGGAACCCTTCCACACGTGCGGCCTCACTCCCTGCACGTGCGGCTCCCCACCCCACACGTGCAGCCTTGGGCCCCGCATGTGCAGCCCTGGCCCAACAACCCAGAATCCTCTGGTTCGGTCCCCGAGCACTCCGAACTCAACCGCACGCCCTCCGGAACAAGTGAAATTCATCATCGAGCAAAACAAGAACAAGGACTTAAATTTTGAGAACAATTTCCAAACGTTTCAAGTCCAAACAAAAATAAAAAAGGGATGAAGAGAAGAAAGAAAGGAAAAGGGAGAAAAGAAAGACTCCGTCGTCACACAAACTTCTCCAATTTCACCCAACGGTCTAAACATTAACAAAATAATAATATAAATTCATCTATGGTACCAATAGTATGTGTGTCATATCACTTGAGTCTCTGAAGTTTTAAATTTATCAAATTTATTCAATAGCATTGTAAGGCTAGGCTTTGTCTTCTTAATTAGTGTTTAGTGACCAAAGTAGCAAAATTGAAGACTTTTGGAAAATAAGTGACATGAAACATACTTCGAGGATTATAATTGTAGTTATTACTATTTTAATAATTTAAACAATCCCTTTTGAAACTAAACCAATTTGTTTCAAATTGAAAATTTTAGGAATAAAATTGACAAAATTAAAATTCGGGCGACAAAAATAACATGACAGAACATATATTTTAGGAATTTAGTGTATTTTATTCTAAAATGATTCATTGCCTCGTATTTTCTTCTTTTTTTTTTCTTTTTGGCTTGATAATCCTTTAACGTAGTAATCTAATTAATCTAGTAATTAGTGTCAATATTAGGCATGTGGTTCAACATTAAAGTTGCATTGAAAAGCTTGAACCTATCTCAACTTGACATTATGTTCTTGATGAAAGCAATATATTGACACTTAACAAAAGCCATCTACAGTATTTCTTCGGCGAACTTAAAACATAAAATTTACATTCAAGACATGGATGCCAAACAAATTAATAATAAATACATAGAAAATTGATTTGTAACAAGTCTGTCAAATGAGAAATATAAAGTAAATAAAGGTAATTAAAACATTTACCTGGAGCAATATAGCCAATGGTACCTAAAGTCTTGGTTTGTATTGCAGTCGTGTTTTCAGCTAAAATTTTTGCAATGCCGAAGTCAGCAACATGTGCAACCATGTCTTCATCTAGAAGGACATTGCTTGGCTTCAAATCACAATAAACCACAGGCTCTAATTGACCATAATGGAGATATTCTAGAGCTAATGCTACATCAATCATGATGCCAATCCTTTGAAGGAGATTAAGGCAGGAGTTATGAGAATATAACCACATTTCAAGGCTTCCATTAGACATATATTGCAAAACCAATGCTCTTAACTCAGGATAAGAGCATGCCGTTATAGCTCCAACGAGATTTCTATGCCGAGTTGTTCGCAACACTTTACATTCTACATCAAAACTTCTAAAAGCTCCTTCAAGTTGCAAATTTAAAACCTTCATGGCAACAATTGTCCCATCTGAAAGTACACATTTGTATACCGAGTCATAGCTTCCTACTCCAAGCAAGTTGGCTTCGCAGAAGTTATCTGTGGCTCGTCGAAGCTCTAGATATGAAATCATTCTGTGCTCCATTGTTGCATATAAATCTATCAGATTTTGACTGTAGACATTGTTCCCATGATTTTTTTTCACAATATACACACCAATAGAAAAGATTAGCATCAATGCAATGACAGGAAGAATGTATCGAAGATTAATTTTAATCATCGACTTCTTGGAACTATTGGTTGCACAAGGTGGCACTTTCAAAATAGGATTCCCACAAAGTGCTTCATTCTCCATGAAAGACCGTGATGTGAGGTTCATGAACGTGTTGGAAAATTTATAAAGAGGTAGTTGTGAATTGAAATAGATTCCATTTTGAATGAAAGGGTGTAACCTTTCATGGTGTCTTTTTGTTTTAAAGGAAGGGTCAAACCTCCATTTGAATGAAAGGGTGCAAACCTTTCATGGTGTCTCTTTATTTTAAATGAAGGGTTATGTCCCTTCTTCATACCTTTTCTATTCAAATTGAATAGGTGCCAACAAAGCCTATATAAAGGCAGCCCCATTCCAATTTTGATTGATCCCGAAATTCAGTCTGCGTTCTTTATATTGCTGTCCAACTTTTATTTAGTGCATTTTCCTTCATTCTAGTTTTAGGAAAAATAACTAAGAGAGTATAGAACACAGGTTCTAGTTCGCCGAACAAATTGTTTGGAGTGCTACTACAATTTGTGAAGATCATTGTATCCTGGGAGATAGACGCCACTCAACCGTAAGCACCGTAGCGGGGCGAATCTGTCTTAAGGACAGAGTGTCACACACTCGACTTAGTCTTAATTTTAATTCGGTTTGATAAATAATTCCGGTATGTTATTTATTTATTTTGTTTGAATTTATTTTCAAGTTTTTTATATACACAAAAGATTGTTTCTACAATCTTAAGACATATTCGAATTATTCTGTTTACAGAATTTTTCGTTTGTTTTCCTTTTTCATTCTTCGTAAATAATTTCGGAAGAAAATTATTTTCTGTGGATTTACAAAATAATATTCTGGTTGGAAAAACAAATAGTGATTATATGCTATTTGACAGATAGTAGTAATATACTATCTCTTTTCTTTGACAACAACTAGCAGTACGATACTGGTGTCATTAACAATTCAGAATATATTTTTGTGAAATTTTTTCAGAAATTAATTTTGGGTTTTAGAAATTATTTTCTGAGTTTTCATTAATTAAAATTCTGTTTCAGTATCTTAATTATTGAAGTGTTACAGAAATTAATTTTCTGTGTGGAATTAATTTGGTTAAATAAAATTTTATTTTATTTCCAAATTAATTGAAAAATATAAGTTATTTTCTTATTTCTTTTATTTTACAGAATTTAATTTCCTGTGTGTGATTAATTTGGTTAAATAAAATTTTATTTTATTTCTAAATTAATTGGAAAATAAAAGTTACATTCTTGTTTCTTTTATTTTTACAGAATTTAATTCTGTGAATTTGGATTAGTTTCTGTGTAGAATTAATTTGGTTAAATAAAATTTTTATTTTATTTTATTTCCAAATTAATTGAAAATAAAAGTAACATTTTGTTTTGTTTCTTTTATTTTAACAGAATTTATTTCTGTAGTTTTGGTTTAATTTGTTTAAATAAATATTTTATTTTATTTTCAAATTAATTGGAAATAAAAGATACAATTCTTGTTTCTTTTATTTTTATAGAATTTAAAATTCTGTGTTTGTGGTTTAATTTTCTGTATAGTATAAAATTCTAATTATAATTTTATTTTATAATTTAGAATTTATGGCTACTAAAACTGGTCAAACTTATGTTCAAACCAGTACTGGTATGGTAATTGCCATTACGCCAACTTCTCCTTATGTTGGGACTGTGCCAGTGAATCATGGTGGAAAACTAGAGAAGTTCTTAGGAACTGTTTTTAAAAGATGGCATAAAAGAATGCTATCTAAAGGAGAGGAAAATAAAAAATACAAGTTTAATGGCAAATGTTACATCGTGACAAAGAGGGACATCGGGCCAAAGATTGTCGTAGCAAAGGTAAAAGCAAAAGAAGAACAAGCAAGAAGCCTGCTCAAGCCCATATGACCGAAGTGGACAATATTTCCAATGGTGTCGATGACATCAATCTTTCTGCAGTTGTTTCCGAGGCAAATCTTGTCGGAAATCCTAAAGAATGGTGGGTGGACACTAGTGCTACTCGTCATATCTGTGCCGACAAAAAGATGTTCACATCTTATTCTACAGTGGATAATGGTGAACAACTCTTTATGGGCAACTCCTCAACTTCCAAAGTTGAAGGACAAGGAAAGATTATACTCAAGATGACATCTGGAAAGGAACTCACTCTCAACAATGTGTTACATGTACCGGACCGCCATTCAACCGTAAGCACCATAGCGGGGCGAATCTGTCTTAAGGACAGAGTGTCACACACTCGACTTGGTCTTGTAATTTTATTTGGTTCGACAAAATAAATCCGGTATGTTATTTATTTATTTTGTTTGAATTTATTTCTAGTTTTTATTTACACAGAAGATTGTTCCAACAATCTTAAGACAATATAAGCATTTGAACCTATTATGACTGGTCTTTATCAATGTTTATTTAGGATATTCGAATTGTTTTCCTACAATTTTTCTTTTATGAGTTTCTTATCAGCATGATGAGATAAAATTTCTAAATGTTGAAATCTGTAATTACAGAATATTTTTGTTTTTATTTTTATTTTTGTTTTTAATTTGTTGATAACTCAAAAGCCGAGTCCAAAGGTCGATGAATCTGGACCGTTGGATCTGCCTAATTGATTCAATGGCTCAAGAAAAAACTTGATTGAGCACGAAGGTAGAGCGAAGGTTCATACATATATATTTGTGGTCCAATAACTCTGCTAGGTTGACTCCCTATGCCTTGGGATCAAGATGTCGTCAACAAAAATAATTTTAAAAGGCCTCCTGAGCTTTTGATCTGAGGATTACACTGCATACATGCTCTCATTGTTTAGAGCTACAAAATCCATACATACCTCAATTATGAGTGAAAATAACATGGCATTCTTTGTTTATTATGTTGTACTCGTGGCAGTATCTGTATACATGGCAACTATAATTATTATAGTGCCAGCATCTGCAAAACCATCATCGTTTTCACTGTCACTCGCATTGACCGTCACTAGTCTTATACTTATCCATCCAACAAGTTGGAATACATGAATTGGACTTCATTGCCAAACCTTGAATGTCTAAATTTGAGCGATTGTTTCTTAGCTGGAAGCATCTCTAACAACATCGGTTCTTTGTCAAAGCTCACCTCCCTAGACCTCTCTTCCAACTCTCAACTTGAAGGTGTGCTTCCTTTAACCTTGGGAAACCTCACCCAACTGGTAGAACTTTACATATCTGGTACTCAAATCAGTGGTCCCATTCCTTCAGGTATTGGTCAATTAACCAATCTAATCTTTTTGGATCTCCATTCAAATCTACTCAACATTTCCATCCCTTCAGAAATAGGAAATCTGAAGAATTTGGTTGTGATGGATATGAGTTCTAACAACTCAAGTGGTCCAATACCTCCATGAATTTGTAAATTAACCAATTTGACTTATCTGGATCTCTCTACAAATCATATAAGTGGTTCTATCCCTCTTGAAATAGGAAAATTAAAGAATTTGGTTAAATTGGATATGGGATATAACATGCTTAATGGTCCAATGCCTTCATCTATTAGTCAATTAACTAGTTTGACTTCTCTCGATCTCTCTTTAAATATTATCAGCGGTTCCATTCCTCCAGAAATAAGAAAGCCAAAAACTTTGGTTAGCCTAGATATGAGATCAAATATGCTTAGTGGTCCAATCCCTTCATACATTGGTCAATTGACCAATCTGATCCTTTTGTATCTTTCTTCAAATCAATTCAATGGTTCCATCCCTCCAGTAATATGGAAGCTAAAGAATTTGCGAGAGATTTCTATGCCTGATAACATGTTTAGTGGTCCAATCCCTTCATCTTTTGGTCTATTGACCAACTTGATCTTTCTAGATCTCTCTTCAAATAGAATTAGCGGCTCCATCCCTCAAGAGATTTGGAAACTAAAGAATTTGCAAGTGATTTATGTGGGTCATAACATACTTAGTGGTCCAATCTCTTCATTGTTGGGTGAATTGATCAATTTGACATATTTAGATCTTTCTTCAAATCAACTCGGCGGTTCCATCCCTCAAGAGATAAGAGATTTGACGCACTTGTCTTACTTGGACTTGAGCAGCAACTTCCTCACAGGTCGAATTCCATTGTCTCTAGATCAATTGACAAATCTTTACTCTCTTAATCTGTCTGCATATACTGTGTGAGTTCTATTGTCTTGGTTTACACAAACGGCTGAACAGTTCAAGACATCATGTTCACTGGTTAGCTAGTAAATCCGATAGTGTCTCACAAGGGAAGGTTCAAAGCCAAAAGCTACCTATCCTTTGCAAAATATTTCCAATTTCTGTACTCTCTGTAATTACATCATGTTGTTGCATTTTCTCTCTGTCAATTTCATTCATGTGGGGGATTGTTGGAAAATTTATAAAGAGGTAGTTGTGAATTGAAATAGACTCCATTTTGAATGAAATGGTGTAACCTTTCATGGTGTCTTTTTGTTTTAAATGAAGGGTCAAACCTCCATTTGAATGAAAGGGTGCAAACCTTTCATGGTGTCTCTTTATTTTAAATAAAGGGTTATGTCCCTTCTTCATACCTTTTCTATTCAAATTGAATAAGTGCCAACAAAGCCTATATAAAGGCAGCTCCATTCCAATTTTGATTGATCCCGAAATTCAGTCTGCATTCTTTATATTGCTGTCCAACTTTTATTTAGTGCATTTTCCTTCATTCTAGTTTTAGGAAAAATAACTAAGAGAGTATAGAACACAGGTTCTAGTTCGCCGAACAAATTATTTGGAGTGCTACTACAATTTGTGAAGATCATTGTATCCTGGGAGATAGACGCCACTCAACCGTAAGCACCGTAGCGGGGCGAATCTGTCTTAAGGACAGAGTGTCACACACTCGACTTAGTCTTAATTTTAATTTGGTTCGATAAATAAATCCAATATGTTATTTATTTATTTTGTTTGAATTTATTTTCAAGTTTTTTATATACACAGAAGATTGTTCCAACAGAACGGCCCTTCATTTGGAATCTCCCCAACCAACTTATTGCAATAGAAATTCATGTATTGGATACGTGAAAGTGCCTCAAGAGACTTAGGTATTTGTCTAGATAGATTGTTGTGTGAAAGATCAAAGAAATCCAATGTTAGGCTTTGAAATGAAAGAAATCCAATGTTATCAACTTGCCCATTGTGTTGGGAATGGGTCCCGAGAATGAATTCCTAGACAAATTCAAAGAAGTTAGGCTTTGAAATGACCCAATAACTCTCGAAATGCTTCCTGAGATTTGATTCCAAGATAAATCCACGATTTCCAACACTCTCGATGGCCTTATGTTTGGATCTAGGCTTCCACCTAATGAATTGAACGAAAGATTCAAGAGCCTTAAAGTTTCAAGGTTCCATAAACACGGCGGTATAAAGGTCAATTTATTATGATGAAGCTTCATCACCTGCAAACCTCTTAAGATTTTCGATGCAACTTGGGATCGACCCTGATAACTTATTGTGCTCTACATACAGTTCCCCCATGTTGCTCAAAAGGCAAATCTCATTTGGAATTGATCCATGAAAGTTGTTACTGCCGAGAAACAACCTTTGCAAGCTTTTAATTTTTCCAGGAGTTGAGGGGATGTTTCCATTCAGATTATTGCCAACCAATGAAAGTACAGTCAAGTTCCTCAAAGAACCAATCTCTTTAGGAATTGTACCAATTAGTTGGTTTTTAGATACAGAAAGTTTTCGCAAAGAGTTTGAAAGATTTCCAATCGAATTGGGTAGGGCACCGTTCAATTTATTTTGTCTCACCGACAACTCCGCCAAGTACAATTTGTCAAATCTATGAGAAAACCAAGTTCAATACTTCCTGGTTCGTTTGTCAGTTGATTTTGAAATAAATGCAAAAGCTGTAGGTGTTTTAGATTGCCTAAATGTTTTGGTATTGGTCCAGTAAACAAGTTGGCAGCTAGAATTAGCATAGTGAGCTTAGAAGAATTGCAGAGAGATGAAGGGATGTTTCCAGTTAGTTGATTGGCATCCAAAAAGAGGAATTCAAGATTAGAAAGGAAAATGCCATTATTTGTTGGAAGGCTTCCAGAAAAGGCATTCAAACTCAAGTGAATTTGAACCATTGAAGACTCGTTAAAAATTACAGGAGGTATTGGACCTATGAAATTATTGAATACAAGGAAAATTAACTTCAAATTTGGAAGTTGTGCCAATTCAGTTGGAACGTTTCCATAAATGTGATTCGCTTCTAGCCCAAACACTTCCAAGCTTGAAATATTGCCAAAGGAATGTGGAATAGTGCCAGAGCTCCCATAAGAGAAGCATTGTACAGCCTCCGCACTAACATGAGAGGGAGAGAGAGAGAGGGAGAGAGAGAGAGAATGCTTCTTTCAATCAAAACTTCAATGACAACAGCTAGGACAAGAAAGTAGTGGGGAGAAACTTGGAACGAGAGCCATGGCTTGTAATTCACTTCAATGACTTCATAAAAATGCCAAATGGGGTCAAGGGGGGGCGTACTTGACTCCATAGCTAGTCTGTGGGGTCATTAAATGGCCTGTGAAGCTGCCTTAGGTTTTTAAAGTTAGGGAAGATAAGGGCCGTAAGATGCTCTTCGCCCCTCGGAATTGAAATATTGTCGGCCGTTGAAAACATTGTGTAAGTTGACTCGTATCTCAGCAGAATGTGAGGCACCCTCCCTTGTTTCTGAAGGTTTGGACGGCCAAAGAACCGGAGTGCGAGGTTAATTTCTGCAAGTACAGCGTCGTCAGCCAAAACTAGAACTTTCTTCAAATCGTTGCCTGCACAAATAAAACGATAAGTACATAGAAGGAAGGCCGAGTAAATATTAAAAAAAAAAAAAAACACTTGACAAACAATATTATCCTTGTAAATTGTAATTTAAAAAAATATATATACAAAATATAATTTGTTAAAATTGAATTTGATAATGACCGTTGATATCTTTCTAACTCTCAACTTTTTACGTATGACATTGTCATCGTGTGTTAATTTGGTGAATTTATACTTTAATTTGATTGTTTTAATAGTATTAATTAATTTGATAAGATGAATTATTAAAAAATAAAATAAAAATGTGTATAACTTAATAATATAAGTCTAATAAAAAATGTGTAACCCGATTCAATTTGATTTTGGCTTGTAAGATTTGGACTTAAGGGTGAGATATGGTTTTAATTTTTTTTAAATAAACCCGGTCCATACTAACCCGTTGACCGATTAAAATTCGAAAAACTCAATAATATATGGAACGTGAACATAATAGTTGATGACCCCATAAAAATGCCAGATGGGTTCAAACTTTCAACTAACACTTTATTTGTCAATAGACTGTTTTAATTAAAAATTTAAGAAGTCATTAAAAATTATTACATCATTCTATTTTTTAAAAATTTTTTTTACTAAAAAATTTAAAAATTATTAAGATAATTAATTATCAAATGAAGTCTAATTATTTGGGATATAAAACAGATAGACTTGACTCCCAGTGACCACTTAAAAAAAATTATAAATAAAGTCACTTCACAAATTTAAATTTCTCAAATTTTATAAGAAAAATAAATTTGTTTGCACTAAACAACCTTCAGTGTGTATGATTTTAAATTTTAAAAAATAGTTTCAGCTTTTTTTATTTTTTAAATACACCGCAACTGTAATTTTTTAAAAAAATTCAACACAAAAGAAATTGAAAAAATAAAAATGTATTCCATATATATATATTTGTATTTAGTGAATTTTTTAAAAAATTCATAATTATTTTTTAAAATTATATTTAGAGTAAGTGAATTTAAAAGTAAAAGGAATTTGCTTAAAAAAATTCAAAAACTGTTTTTAAAAATTATTACCAAACAAAATGATTTAAACTTCTCAAAGCAATGAATTTTTAATAGGTGTAGATTTTTATTTAATAGGATCAAATTATGTAAAATAAAATATTAACAATGTAAACAGGAGCCGTTAATGGCACGATAGAAAATTATAGCTTTGTTTAGTTTAAGTTTTCAGTCTTAATTTGTTTTTATTGAATTTTTTTTTCTTCATATTTTGGTCATTTTTTTTTACTTTTAATACATTTAAAAAGTAAAACAGTTTACCAGAAGTAAGAAAAGAATTCACTAAAAATAAATAAAAATTCATGCAAATTAATTAAAATATTAAAAAAAATCACTAAAAATAAACAATAACTCATCTAAAGTAGTTTTTGAAAAATCAATCCATGCGAAAACTATTATTTCAAGCTTGTGTTACTTAAAACGAAACTTTTACCCTGACTCTTCAGTGCCGTTCCATTGATACAATTTTCTCCATATTTATAAAAAATTATTTAATAATTCTAGGTAAATCTATGTGACGTTTCAACTTGATATTTTATTGATTTAAAAATGCTATGA